GATATACTTACATAAAGGCAGGGGGAAGAGAGGGAACAAACAGCCCGGGAGCTACAGACGACAGTAGACAAAGTGACTGAGTGGTATACAGAAATGAGGGCTGTCGTGTATCCGGAAAAGGCGTCTGTTTTATGGTGTTCTCTAGACAACAGAATCGTTAAAGCTAATGTCCCAAGTCTCACGATAGATGGTAGAAACGTCAACAGAGAGATCAAACTGAAGTATCTGGAAATTACATTTGACAGGAGCCTGTCCTTTAAGGACCATGTGGAGAGTGTTGTGACAAGATGCCAAAAAGGACTTGGTGCACTTAAGACTATGGCTGCAATTGACATAGAGCAGATAATAGATTTCACACTATATCAGCACCTGATCCTGTCAGTTGTTGATTATGGCCTGGGACTGCTTACCGTCTCAAAAAGTAGACAAACTAGAGCGCATACAGAACGCAGCTATGCGGGTCATTCTGCGTTGCACCAGAGACACCCCAGTGGTTTGCCGACTGTTGCAGGTAGGCACAAGGTGCTGCAGGCGAAGTCATATCTCAGGGTAGCTGCAGACACAGACCACTCTTTGCACGAAGCTCTGGGTGCAGTTAAGGGTCAGCGGCTGATAAGAGGGAAGTCGTGGGTGGCTCAGGCAGAAGACACAATCAGACAGGTTTGCATCCTTGAGAACATTAATTAGGCGAGAAGAGGAGTGGGTCAAAGTGCCACCTGAACAGTCAGACTTGTGTAGGGTCATAATCACATTGAGCCGGGAATGCAGAGACTGGCCAGCAGATGCCACGGAAATAGAAATTCAGCAATTATTTCAAGATAATGCTCGCTCAGAGGATTTGATCATTTACACAGACGGTTCAGTGTCAAGAGGCAAAAGAAGTGCTTGGGGCTTCTTAGCAAAAGTTAATGGTCGACGTTTGGTGCAGGAGAGCCTAGCATATGATACCGCAACATCCAGCTTAAAAATGGAGGTGGGGGCGGTCACTGCAGTTTTCCGCTGGCTAGAGAATACGATACACACACACACACATCGTGATTGTAACTGACTCAGAAAGCATGCTGAGGAAGATCAGGGCAGGTATGCTTTGTGCAGAGTGACATGCTTCGCTGCGGAGGACATATGTGACGAGTATTGACTGGATTGTTTCACCGGGGCACGTCGGTATGTTGGGAAATGAACAGGTGGACAGACTGGCTAGGCTCTGCACAACTTGGTGGAATACTGATACATGATAAGGCAGACGTGGCTAGGGCCTTGTGTGAGAGCGTGTACAATTCGGAGGAGCAGATGGATCACCAGTCTGGTGAGACTGCTGCAGAGGGGAGTGACGAGAGGTTCCGGCAGATGCTCGAGGCTCAGAGGAAAGGCAAGACGGACGTTTAATCAGAATGCTACTGGCACCATTAGTTTCGGAACTCTTCGCTGGCTGCTGAAAATGGGGACGGAGCGCTTATGGGAATGCCCCGAGTGCTGTGCTGTCGGTTCTTGAATCAAATAAAATCAAATCGTTCTGCGTGGTCGATCTATTATTCTATTACCATTGCACCTGTACAACATTGATTCCTGTGGTGTCCTGTCTGCTGCGAATTGTGTTACATTACCAAATCAATTGAATTGTTGTCTACCTATAAAGTTCAGTATTGGTTCTGTGGCGACTCTCCTCCTGATATCATCATTCCAAGTCGAATTTTTGTTGCTATACCTAGCATGATAAGTCAACATTTCGTTTCTGTCGAGACAATTTTTCTTTTGAAGACAATGCCCATGTCTAATACTGATAGCATAGCGTTGGTAAGAATATAATGTTGAACAGTGCTCTTTAAACCATGCGTTATTGTTTTTTTTTTAATCAAGTTTGTTTACACCAGTCTTCTTGTGCCTTTCTACCCCACAATGGAGCATAGGCCCTCAACCAACTCACGCCAAGTCGTTCTATCCTTCGCCATTGCATGGAGCTCTCCCCATGTCCTCCCAATCTTTCTAACCTCGTTCTCCAGCTCTCTTCTCCATGTGTTTTTTTTGGCCTTCCATTATTCCTATGCCCCTGTGGGTTCCAATGCTGTTCTCCTGTTTTCTCAGTGTGTGCCCTATCCAACGCCAGCGTCTTTTCCTCACTTCCTGATCCACTGGAGCCTGTTTAGTTCTCTCCCAAAGTTCTACATTAGTTATTCTATCATACCATTTTATTCCCTCTATTCTGCGCAGGCACCAGTTAATGAATGTCTGTAATTTATTAGTAATTGCCTTGGTTGTTCTCCATGTTTCCGCCCCATACAATAGTACTGATTTGACATGAGAATTAAAATTTTTAGTTTAGTATTTCTTTTAATTTTACACCAGTAACAAGTGGAAAAGCTTACATGGTCTTTGTGTAATTTCTCTAATAATTATTGCCTTGTTTTTTTTTCTTTCTATATATGTCCATGATATTTCGTTGCATTCTCTTTACACATGCTATATACAGTTAGAAGTCTGCGGCTGATGAGAGGAAAGTCATGGATGGCTCAGGCTGAGGAGACGCTCAAACATTTTTGCATCCTGGAGAACACTGAGCGAGGCGAGGGTCGGAATGCCAATGGAAGAGTCAGACTTTTGTAGAGTTATTATCACATTGAGCCGAGAGTGCAGGGAGTGGCCAGCAGGTGTCACGGAGGTTGAAATTCAGCAATTAATTTTGGATAATGCTGTCTTGCGTGATGTGATTATTTAAACAGATGGTTCAGTGTGAAGAGGAAAAGGAAGTTCCAGGGGGTTTTCAGCAAAAGCTAATGGTCGACGTTTGGTGCAAGAGAGTCTAGCATATGATACCAAAACCCCCCGTGTGGGTTCCGGGGCCCCATTGTGGGGAAAACAAGAATAGACCCACTGCCTCCCCAAAAGCATGTCGTAAGAGTCGACTAATTGGGAAGCTTCCTTTGAAGTCGGAGTGCATCTGCCGGAGAGGCAAGGAACCAACAGTCTGTATTCAAGAGAATGAGATCTGTAAAACTGATGCACACGCAACACTCAGGTTCTGGAGCAGGACTGCAGTTCAGTAGTGGACGAGCAACCAGAACCTTCCGCCAGAGTTTACAGCTGGTGAACGTGAAGAAGAAGAAGAAGATACCAAAACATCCAGCTTAAGAATGGAGGTGGAGGCGGTCACTGCGGCCGTCAGCTGGCTAGAGAACACGACACACACACACATCGTGATTGTAAAAGACTCATAAAGCATGATGAAAATGGCGAGAACAGGCATGCTTCGCTTCAGAGGTCACGGGTGAAAAGCATTGTCTGGGTCTTTTCTCCGGGGCATGCAGGTGTCTGAGGAAATAAACTGGGGACATATTGGCTGGTTCTGCGTAATTTAGTGGAATATTGATGCATGATAAGGCAGGCATGGTTAAAACTTTATGGTAGGATGTGTATAATTTATGAACAGCATATTTATCATCATAATCTGGTTAGAGGGATGCAGCGATTAGTGACGATGAAATCCGGCTGATACTCGACGCTCAGCGGAAAGACGAGACGGACGTATAATCTGACTGCTACCGGCACTGGAACTCTGCGTTAGCTGCTGAAGATGAGGACGGAGAGTTTATGGGAATGCCCCAAGTGCTAAGATATCAGTTCTTGAATCAACTCAGCCCAACTCTCTTCACATATCACACTCTCCACTATTAGACTTGTAAACCTTGTTGTTTACTGTATTCAGTATTATATTTCGACTTTCTATTTATTTTCTAGATGGCTCAATGGACATAAGTCTTATTTATACGCGCACCCATAATAATGTTATGATGTAAGGTTAGTTGCGTATCTTTTACAGGACGTTGCAGAACTAACCTCAACAGCCCCTGGCTGTTGTGTGGTTTTTTAAAGGCAAATTTACGTCCAGTAGTTTGCCATTTCATTCTGGACGGTCAGCTTTCTTGATACCACTGTCGAAACCAAAGCAAGGCGCATGACCCGCAGCTGGGATCGAACCCATTACGAAGCGTTCGCATCTACTTAGCCACACAGCCGACAATGGCTAATAAATGTAATACATTTGAAATAATATGAAATGAATAAACAATACCTGTTTTTGACACATTGTTTGTCAATGACAGTTGGTAGCAAGGGTGCTTTGCTGAAAACAAAAGTCGTCACGTTTAATCACATCCCAGAAGGGGGAGCTTTAGTTTATAATTGTGACAAGGTTATGTGCACAAGATAAAATGGCTTGGCATTGCACGCCACTAAGAGCCACGGAAAGACTCCTGCAGTGCTGATGCGATATGAGGGGACAGACCCAAATACTGTCACGACCAGCAACAAGTCGTCTACCGGCGAGCCAATGGACGACTCGGTCGCTGATGATGTGTCAATGACAGTTTTTAAGGCACTTGATGATAATAGTAGTCCTTCCATTGATTCCGCAGTTATTTACTACATTGAGGCAAATATTCTGTGTATAGTCATTGGACAAATGTGTTCTCTGTTCTTATGAGACTATGCACCCGTTTTCGACTTACTATAAAAAAATCTTGCAATAGAAAAAAAGCATATTGTTATGATGTACTGAAAGAGATATTCTATTTGAAATGTAAATCGAATATTTCGCAAAAGTATGAAGACAAAAACTGAAGACATCGTATTTGAGTGTCATGTGACACAAGGCGTCCAATCAATAAGACGTACAACTGCGTAACGCCGACGACATCGTGTCGGTAAACATAGCTCTCTAATGGGTCTTATTTCGCCGTTAAGGCTTGCAAGACCTGCCATTATTTGGCCCAGAGAGCTTTGTCTCGACATAAATATTAAACTGAACAACACTCTGACTGCAGTTGGAGAAGTCGAAGGCAGAAAGTGCCCCAAATTTGCCAAGAAGACGGTTTCTTTACCATGTGACCAAAATTGGCCAATGAAAAATGTTAGTTTGAACTGGTTGTATCCTCCTTTCAGCCTGACGGTTATCCATAATACATTTTGTCAATGTGAATGTTTGTTATGACAATCTGACGAATGCTATGGACCCAAAAAGCCATCCGGCACTACCAGGGTACCAGCAGTCTGTCCAGAGTGTTAACACAGGGTATCTAATAATTATTTTGGTATATTATGCATGGTGTCATGAGTAACTTGCTCAGAAACGTAAACATGTAGCTCTCACTGTCTGGGTAGACCTTCCGCCATGGCTGGTTGTTTAACGCTGACGCAACGAAAATATTGATTTTCCTACAGTTTTACTGATAGTAGGTGTATAAAATACATTTCAACGTTTGTATGTTTGTTTTGGGCGCAAAACTGTAAGTTTTTAAAGAGAATTTGTCAGAAGAAACAATGAGAAAATTAACTGCAACTGTCGCTGTGTGGTGGTGGTGAAATTTGGCGTTCACAAAATGGCTGAATCATTTCGAAGGCTTCTAAACAACGTACACATTTTGACGGATTTTTCGTCTGTGTAATACCTTACGACGCTTACTTCCTCCTAATTTGCACACATTTCCTACGATAGATTATACGCGAAAATTAAGCAGCGACTGACGTCAGAAATTATTGACGAAGCTATTTAATTTAGTTAACTTGTGTGAAGCTGCTGCTATTGTTTCATCATACAGAAATGAATAGACCAATTTGACGTGTTTGTTACTAGAGACGACAGTTTTAACTGTTGAAACCAGCAACATGCATTGATCATTTGTGTTCATAGAGGTCGATATAGTAGAAGTACTCAGACTGGTGCAAACTAACGCAACCTGTTTGTCTGGTTTAATAAAAAACGAACAACCTTTTCTGATTGACATTCATTGTTTTCTAAGTAAGTTCTTTAGGCATTCGCACTGAAGTAACACAAAACACTTTTTCTCAATAAATATACAGAGTAAATAATATATTGTGAAAGAACTAAGACAAAAGAATACTGACTGCATGATTAGATGATCTTACACAGGTTACTCGAATCGTAAAAAGTAAAAGATAACAAGCTCCAAAATGCATCACCAACAAGGTGCATGAGTATAACAATTTAATAAGCAGTACTGTTTTTTTTTTTTTTTTTTAGTCTTGAATATTCTAAGCTACACAAAAATCAAAAAAATGAACTGGTTATTTTTGTGTGCCCAGTGTTTCAAGACTTCCACTTCCTGATTATTCTTCTGCATTCATCCGAAGATGTAATTGTGTTGCGACCGTTAATGGGTTGCTGTAATTTTTTTGCGTCTTTCGGCCGACACATCCGACTTATGCCTGGGTTAGACTTCCTGATTCTGAAAGGGTTTACAGTTTACTGATTTAATTTTAGTCAACCCCGTATCATACATAACCCCCTCTCCCTTCCACAAAAATATCTTAAGATGCAGGTACTAATTGTTCTAGTAGCATACATGTCATTCTCTTTCTTTCTTATATCCTTCCTTTCTGCATACGAATTGATCACTGAAACAACATGAAAGCTAACTTACACCATTTCAGTCAGCATAGTTGGTCATTTTCACTAAAATCAAAGGTCATTTGTTTCTCATGAGGTATTAGTATTAGACTACATTTGTCCTTCCACATTTCTTGATCTGATAAATAACAATGCAGGAACTAGTTCTTATCATCTGCCGCACAGAATCCTGTACATATGTTTATGTCTCTCTGTTACTCATCTCTTTTCTTTCTGTGCTTGCTACATTCTCTTTCATTACCAGAAGACAGTTAAATCAGTTACACATCAAACACATAGTGTACAGAAAGAGTTAATCATCATTCGATACCTCTTGCAACATCATTCTAATTTCTTTTGCATTTCACCCATCCCCTCTCCCCCTTTTGTTTTTTGTTGTTGCTCTTCTATACCATATATTCCCTATATCAGCTTTGTGTAAGGGTAATTAAATAACTTGACCTGATTATTAAATGTGGCTTTTATAATCTCAGTACAAATAAAATATGTGAGCTGTGATATTTTGGTTACATTTTTTGATGTTTTGTTGGTTTCTGGTGAATTGTAAAATCTTTATTAAATTTTCTGACATTTTTAAGTATAACTTTTCAAAAGATATAGGAAAGTCAAAACATTTGGTTTAGAAGTGGCTTGAGAAAACAGTTTTTCTTTTAAGGAATAGGAATAAAATAGATATTGCATTTCTGATATGCTTGGTAATTGCAGTTTATGATTGACTGTATATGGTTTGCTAGTGAAATGTACGAGTATAGATGTTTGTAAAAGTAGTTTAAAAAGTGAAAAAAACACATTGTCAGGTACAGTATTGCTGGAGTTGGTGGCATTAAAAAATCATCATATAGCAGGTCTTTTGCAGAATTTCACAGTCTGGCTAAAGAAACTCAGTGTGTTGCTAGCTTTCCTGCCTCGTGCACTTTCCCACCCAAGGTGTCATATCCTGTGCCCATCTTCATGCTGGTGGGCACCTGAACTCTACTAAATTCTTTCTATCTGCTGTTGCAGTGGACAGGTGACCGTTCAGCGGTGGAAGAAACAGGATGGGAGAAATGATGTTGGATGACACTGGCTTGGTTAAATGTCAGTAGTCTTTATTTTGATGCATAATGCCAAGCACCGGTATTTGTAAGAAAAAGAGCGCATACGCCATCTGGCATGGTATATGAATGCATGTGCAAGGCTTACAGCTAGGCTCCAGTATCTGCCTTTTAGCCTAGCGCATCTGATTCCAGCAGACTCCAAATGAGTCATCTGTTAACAACATGCCTGTTAGGGGAAGTGGATCTGTTCTTTCCATCAACCCTGCCCCCCCCCTTCCATCCACCCTACGGGCCCCGGTAATCACACAGGGATGGCAAGGAACATAATGACGATAATGATAATATAAGTTTTTCTGGAACTCATATGGTGTCTACTAGTACCTGTTTTAACCCAGTATGATGACATGAAAATAGCTAGTGCCAGCCAGCTTCCACTGGATCGCAAATTATTCCCCCCCATAACCCTCAATGGCAGAAGGAGTTTATGATAATGATGATTACTGACTGACCTGTTCCTGCTTTCAATTTTTTTTCACTCTAGTAATGGTGGGCAAGTTCCAGACTTGTCAGTCAGGTGTACTCTTGAGAAATGCAAATAATCCATATGTCGATTTGGGGATGGAGACGTTCTGCACCACTCATAGTGGTGCACCACGACCAGGGCTCATACTGGTCCAGACCTGCCTACACCTCTACACGGATCCTAGAAACAGGTTTCTAACTGGAAGCTTGGCCAACTCAGATCGGATCAACATTTGCTTGAAGGCTGAGTGTATTTGCCAGAGCGGTGAGGAACCAGCAGTCTGCACACAAATAAGCCAGATCTATAAAATGCACGCAAGACTCAGGTCCTAGAATAAGACAAAAGTTCAGAAGTGGATGAACAAGCATGACTTTACGCCAGAGATAGAAGATACTCTGATTCAGTGTAAATATGGAAGGGTAGTGACCATAGACTTCTCTCATCATCATATCCTTTACAGAACTTTGCTGTTCATCACGGCACATCTGAAAGTCTCCCATTCTCTAGCCAATTCTCCAGCCTCATGTATCCATATTTGAAAAGGTCTGTCTCTGCCTTGTTTCTGGAAACTGTGCCCTTCATCACTGGTCTCTCACCATGCCATTTAACATGGTTTAAATGTCTTAGTTTTTGGGGCATGATGCTGTTTATGAGCCAGTTATCCTTGATGGAACCTGGAGGGTGTCAATGTTTTTCTTCATCTAGGTCATGGTATTCTCAGAACTTTTATTATACTTCTCTGCCTAATTGCAGAACTCCCTGTAAACAGAAACCAGTCTTGCCAATAAAACCGATGATAGACCATGTGATGAAAGTTGTCTCTGCCCTGAAGTGGTAGAGAGGCTTGCATGTTCCATTGAATGGTTGAGGTGATGCTGGCTCAGCTACTAGTATAGTGGGTATCTCAGAGGATGACAACCGGATAAGGGACACAGATCTTCTGTCTTCTAGGTGAACTGGGGACAGTCAAAACTAGGTCAAGCAACCCTGAAAAAATGCTTACCGAAATACCTTTTATAGGGAGAACAAAAATAGACCCACTGCCTCCGTAACAAGCCATGTCGTAAGAGTCGACTAATTAGGGGTTTGCTTCAGAGTACATCTGCCCGAAAGACAAGGAACCAAAAATCTGCATACAAATAATCCGTATCTATAAAACGGATGTGCACGCAACACTCGAGCTCTGAAACAAGACTAAATTCCACCTGAAGTGAGTGAACAAACCCGAATTTTCACCTGGAGTTAAGAGCTGTTGACGAATGAAGAAACACTGAGCCATAGACTTGACAGAACAGTTCTGCATGACTTTCTTTATGATGATAAATGCTGTGAGATGGAAAGAGTCCTAGCAGTTCTTCTTGATGATAGATGATTAGCACCCAGATCCTGCATTCACTAGGGCTCAGCTATAAGCTTGTAGTGAGTGTTCTGTTTGGCTGTTGAGGTCAAACCCAAGTGATCAACAGGCTCTGGTCACGTCAGCTCACGCAAGATTGAACAGTTGATGTGATAGGGGTCTCTGGTGACATCAGTTCACGCAAGAGTGAACAGTTGATATGATGGGGTATCTGGTGACATCAGTTCACACAAGAGTGAACAGTTGATATGGTGGGGTATCTGGTCACATCACTTCACACAAGAGTGAACAGTTGATGTGATAGGGGTCTCTAGTCACATCAGTTCACACAAGAGTGAACAGTTGATATGATGGGGGTCTCTGGTCACATCAATTCACACAAGAGTGAACAGTTGATACGATGGGGTATCTGGTCACATCAGTTCACGCAAGAGTGAACAGTTAATACGGTGGGATCTCTGGTCACATCAGTTCACGCAAGAGTGAACAGTTGATACGGTGGGATCTCTGGTCACATCAGTTCACGCAAGAGTGAACAGTTTATATGATGGGGGTCTCTGGTCACATCAGTTCACGCAAGAGTGAACAGTTGATATGATGGGGGTCTCTGGTCACATCAGTTCACACAAGATTAAACAGTTGATACGGTGGGGTATCTGGTCACATCAGTTCACGCAATAGTGAACAGTTGATACGATGGGGTCTCATTAACTGCTATATGCAGATAGTCACAGCAGGGATTTTTTTGGTGGTACGCAACGGTACGCAGTACTAGCACGTTTTATTTTTAGGCATAATTTTTTTTTCAGCAACTCTGTAATAGATACTTTGTGGGCAATACCGGCAACCTTTAAAAAAAAATGATGTGGTGGGTACTGGCACCTTTTTTGTTGTCCTAAAAAGGAAGCCCAGGTCCAAGGCCTGAATGGACCTTGGCTCCCAGGTGGACACAGCGTAAAATGGATACTAGATTGTGTCCAGGAAAGTAGAGGTGACCGCATAATGTTGACCACGTCATCCATTGAGTGCCGACTGGTCTATAAAATATACGTCTGACACTATGTGCCTTATGTACCAAAAGCAAAAAAAAGGTTCTTTCCATTTTCTTTCTAATAGGGCCTAAATGTGGGTGATTGATAGAGCAAATATATTTAATTAGGGACAGAACAGACATTCTGTCTTTGATTTAAAAAAAAAAAAAAAAAAGCCAAATGTATAATTTCATAGCAAGGGGAGCAACTTATGCCGACATCCACGATTTAACTCTTTCAGTCCCACAAAATATCCTCGGCGAGGACTACTAAATGTGTACACACATGCATTACTTTCAGTTGGGCAGCATATGAAAGAAAATAAAACATATTATATTGAGTTTTAACATAAGGGGTCAGATGTTAATCATAAAGATCAGATCACAACGTGCTCTTTTTGATACACATGGGCAGTAGCTGAGCACACACAAAATTGGGACTGAAAGAGTTGATCCATTCTTATGAAATATTTAGAAATATTGTTGACATTTGCATATGATCGAAACATTTTCCCTCAATGACACTATTGTCCTAGTTTCTTCTTGATTTTCCCATGTTCAGAATAATAGGTTCATGTGCTGTAAATATTCTTTCATGGGTTGCTGTTTAAAGAACATTTGTTCTTCATCTTGTAAAAAAAACTTGTATCTACTGTTTAAAATTTTAACTGCTTATTCTCAGTTCAGGTGATCTTAGAAGTGGTACATTTCTGTTATGAAGAACTATTTATCTCCGGCAATTTTTCTTTCTTCAATTCTTATTTGGATAAGAAGAATAATTTCTTGCGTCCCGGGTGACTTGTTTTTTCTATTAGATCTGCAATTTTTATCTTAGTTATATCCAGCAAAGGGTATCTAACAGTTTCTTGTTTTTATCCGAAATGGTTTAACAAACAATCCAGTATCCCATAATTAGGTGACATTATATAACTTCATTGTGTTTTTCTCACAAGGGAAAGGCGAGGTGGATATATATATTCAGACAGCTACTGGTGCTGCTTAAGATGCGGTTGTAGCGATTATGGGTGTGTTGCTAGTGCTTTAATGTCGATTCTTAATTCAGCATTCAGCAATTTATTTATTTCATCCACAAGCTTATGATAGATGTACAGTAAAACCTGGTGAACACAAACTTGCTGAAGAAGACCACTTGGCTAACATATTAACACAGACTTTATTTTTGGGTCCCTTGGAATTCCGTGTTAAGGAAGTTTTACTGTATATTACAGTACAAACTGCTGAAGGCGATTTCGGATGGGGCAAATTTCTGTTGTGAGGAACAATTAGTATGTCCCGGGCAATTTTTCTTGCTTAAATTCTTATCTGGGTGAGAGGAATTTCTTATAAGAAAAACCATTTCTTGAGTCCTCTGTGAGTTCTCCTTATCAGCTCCTCACTGTATAAATCATATTTAATTAGCTGGCCTTTTCACTTTCTGAACGCATTACCTTGTTTTATTTAAATGTGGTTGTTTATTCTTACCTGTTTGATCTTGTTTTCTCAGTTCAGATGACATAAAGATGACTACAGAACAAGGACCTGCAGCCTCCAATGCTGCCGATGTAAGTAAATTCTTACATAATAAACCTTCTCTAGAATGAAGTCGCTGATCTTTTAATATGTTCATGTTGATGTGTGGAGGTGTCAGAAGAAGAAGTACTTCGATATACTTATACCAAACAAATTTTCCCAGAAGAAATAAAGGGAGTATAATTGATCTGTTTCCATAGAAAAAAAAATTATGTTATTGGCATCTTATACATTGTTGTTGTATAAAATAATAGGTTGAAGTAACGTTAATCTTCCCAAATAGAGTAGATTACTTTTCATTCACAAGTTTGTTAAGCTGGTCGACTTTCCTGAAGGTTACGGGTGTGTCCCGCTCTGTTGCTTTCTGCATTGTCTTGCATTTACGGTTTCATTCAGAGAAAGAGAATGCCTATGACATAGGTTTGCAGCACCCTCTAGAGGGTTTGTATTAGGGCCAGTTTCTCCATGTCTTTGGCGTGTTAAAAGCCCTGGCGCGCTGAAATATACAACACGCTATATCAACGGTATTGCGGAGCACCGCCAAGGTAACAGGTTCAGGAACTACCATTCAGAAGTTAGCTAGTGTGTATATAGGCGGTGTGTCTGGAGCCTAACGTTACGTGTTCCAAATAATGTAAACACTGCTTAATACTAATATACATAATACAGAAGCAATTAGATGAAATAAATGAAAATTAAATCTCACTTTACGTTGCTGAGAACAGCTGAGTGCCTACTAGGATAGTGTAGAGAAGGGAGGAGGAAGAGATATTGTTTGGGAGTAGAGTACCCTTCCAATAAAACTTCCGGAATCTGAAAGTTTTGTGTATTTTTTTTTTCTGTCTCTTTTCCCCACTTGGACCTGGTTAAGGCTTACCATGTTTTGACTTTTACTAAATCTCTCTCCAAAGAACTTTGCTTTTGCCTTCACCTCAGGATGTTTCAGAGATGTGCCAGATTATAGATGATGCTATTACAGCTTGTTAGGGTTTTGTTGGAGGTCATACTTGTCTGAAAAATAGTTGACATCCATCCATTTGTGGAAATCATTTCCTTGATTAATGAGAGTGGTAAACAAGTGTAGTACATGATGTTGTGACTCTTTTTGACTCTGAAGTTTTAACACACGAATCGTATTCAAAACAAAGTGTGTATACCAAGCGAAATCGTTCACATCTTAACAGGACGTATACCAAGCTGGACGTAAACCGAGGTACCTCTAGTTACATGTACTTCAGTAGAGTATAGGCACTCTTCCAGCTCACACCATGTCCTGCCCACCTTTTAACTTCACTTTCTAGCTCTCTTCTCTATGTGTGCTTTTTTTTTGTCTGCTATTATTGCTGTGCCCCTGAGGGTTCTAGTATAGAGAACTCTAGTTACATTGTCCTCAGATATTTTCATCGCGTGTGTGACCAATCCAACAGCATGGTCTTCACCTTTTTATGGACATATTCCCTGGAGGGTTTCGGGGGCCCCAATTTGGGAAACACTGCCCCCAACAAGCATGTCAGTAGAGTCAACAAAATAAGGGGTATTTCCTTCAAAGTCGTGCCTCTGCCTGAGAGGTGACGAACTAACAATCTGCATACAAATAAGCCAGATCTGTAAAACGAATTTGCACACAGAACTCAAGTTCTGGAACAAGACTGAAGTCCAGCAATTTGTTGAACAACCAGAGAACTTTCCACTGGAGTTTACCTCTGGTGAAAATGAAGAAGAACAAGACGATCTAGACATATTCATGTAACGATCTAGACATCTTCATGTAACTTTTCCTTAGAGTTGATTGTAATTGAATTCCTTGATGTCATGATTTCATTTGGTCTTTGTGACAGGTTTATGATTTTAATAACCATGACGACGGCAACAGTGGCAATGAACAGCCCCCACCTCCGAAGCCTAAAGGCAGACGAGGTCGCAACACAAACCAGCTGCAGTTCATGCTGAAGTCGGTTCTGAAAGCTGTATGGAAACACCAGTTTGCTTGGCCCTTCCACCAGCCTGTGGATGCTGTGAAAATGCAGCTGCATGTAAGTTTCTGTCTCACAAATAGTGAAGTTGAAAGCAGTCAGTCAGTCAGCGTGTCCTTTAAAGAACATCTTTCTCTTCGTGGACATTACCTGCTTCTGTTTTACCGTCTCAGCCTGCTAAGGTATGATGCTAGTTCTTATTTTACGGGATGAACAGGAGTAATGATATCAGTTTTATGTGTAGCTGCTGAACATTAGACAAGATGAGAACTGTTTGAAATTATACCTTTGGTATCTCACAGATAGCCTGTACACCTAATGCCAGGGTAACACATGGGTGTGCAGGACTAGTCTGGCAACACCCAGACTAGAACCTACATCATTGCAACACTCCTCTCCAGGGTCGTGGAGCCAACCTTATCGCTCTCTTTTCACATCCCGTTCAATGTGTGCTGCACCGCACCAAGTTTTACGTTCTTTTTCTTCTTCTTTGCGTTCACCAGCTGTAAACTCTGGTGGAAAATTCTGGTTGTTCATCCACTTCTGGACTGCAGTCCTGTTCCAGAACCTGAGTGTTGCGTGTGCACCCGTTTGACAGATCTGACACATTTGAGTGTAGACTGTTGGTTCCTTGCCTCTCAGGCAGATGCACTCCGATTTCGAAGGAAGCTCCCAATTAGTCGACTCCTACGACATGCTTTTGGGCAGGCAGTGAGTCTGTTTTTGTTTTCCCTATAATAGGGCCCCAAAACCCACACGGGGAGTTTTACGTTCAATAATGAACTTTCCTTTTATATACCCATATATTGCACACTCTCTCTCTCACACACACGTGCACACAGAGAGAGAGAGAGCACTATGGTTTGATGGGGAACACTTCAGAAAATGACCATTCTTATGGTTTTCAGACAATGGGGGTGAAGACAGCAAGGTGAAAGAGATTGGGGCCTCATCATCTCATGTTGCCAAGAAGCAACAGTAGATGTATGTATCCACTGCCATCAATATTTGTTGTGGGGATGGCCACCAATCTCCGCTGTGGGGATGGCCACCAATCTCTGTTGTGGGGATGGCCTCCAATCTCCGCTGTGGGGATGGCCACCAATCTCTGTTGTGGGGATGGCCACCAATCTCCGCTGTGGGGATGGCCACCAATCTCTGTTGTGGGGATGGCCACCAGTCTCCGTTGTGGGGATGGCCACCAATCTCCGTTGTGGGGATGGCCACCAATCTCTGTTGTGGGGATGGCCACCAATCTCCGCTGTGGGGATGGCCACCAATCTCTGTTGTGGGGATGGCCACCAATCTCCGTTGTGGGGATGGCCACCAATCTCTGTTGTGGGGATGGCCACCAATCTCCACTGTGGGGATGGCCACCAATCTCTGTTGTGGGGATGGCCACCAATCTCCGCTGTGGGGATGGCCACCAATCTCCGTTGTGGGGATGGCCACCAATCTCCGTTGTGGGGATGGCCACCAATCTCTGTTGTGGGGATGGCCACCAATCTCCGCTGTGGGGATGGCCACCAATCTCTGTTGTGGGGATGGCCACCAATCTCCGCTGTGGGGATGGCCACCAATCTCCGTTGTGGGGATGGCCACCAATCTCCGTTGTGGGGATGGCCACCAATCTCCGCTGTGGGGATGGCCACCAATCTCCGCTGTGGGGATGGCCACCAATCTCCGTTGTGGGGATGGCCACCAATCTCCGCTGTGGGGATGGCCACCAATCTCCGTTGTGGGGATGGCCACCAATCTCTGCTGTGGGGATGGCCACCAATCTCCGTTGTGGGGATGACCACCAATCTCCGTTGTGGGGATGGCCACCAATCTCTGCTGTGGGGATGGCCACCAATCTCTGCTGTGGGGATGGTACAATTTTCCGAAAACTTATTTTTCTTTGCATTTGTGTGTTGGACTGCCCTTGATCTGCGTTAAAAAATGATGCGTTGTGTTGTAGAATGGACCCAACTGCCCTCAGCAAGCATGTTTTGTACATGGCAACTAATTAGTAGTTTGCTGAAATCCAGTCTTGTATTGGGCTGAAAGGCACAGATATTACAGCCATCTGTAAAACAACACAACATCCCAATTGCCCCTTCAAAGGTGAATTCAGAAAAGAAAATGTAATTTGCTGTACCATTAGGTGTATGTGTGATATTGATGAGGGGACTTGGTTTCAGAATTTAAAATTACTAAAATGTAACTGTCTCCCCAAGAGATAAAGTATGATGATTAGGAATTACATAAAAAATTTTGTGTTGGGGGAGGGGGGGGGGGGCATTCAGGTGGTAAGAAAGAATAGACCCACTGTCCCCCAACAGACATGTGACTAATTGGGGTCCACCCTTTACAGTTAGGGGGCATCTGACTGAGAGGTGGGGAACCAACAGTCTGCATACAGTTAAGCTAGGTCTGTAAAATGAATGTGCAGGCAAAGCTCAAGTTTTGGAGTAAGACTAAAGTCCATAAGTGGTCAAACCACAAGGGTTTCTGCCGGAGTTTACAGACAGTGAACGCAAAGGAGAAGTATAATACTTCTTTGTGGCAGCAGACATTGAAATGGGAAGACAGCAGTAATAATACAAGATATGATTCAGTTTCAAGATCACCGATTTATTTCACCAAGTATTTTCACTCTCACTCACTCTCTTCATCACCTTTTCAGGATTATCATAAAATTATAAAGACTCCGATGGATTTGGGAACCATCAAGAAGCGGTTGGAAACTTACTACTACAGCTCAGCCAAAGAAGCCATGCAGGACTTCAATACGATGTTCACAAATTGCTATGTCTATAACAAGCCGGGTGATGTAAGTTATTGTTTGGCTGCATTTCTGATTCACCGGCACATTTCTGAACTTTCTTTCATCTGTCTTTATTTTCTCTAACAACTCTTCAATTCTGCTCACATCTCATCATTTTTATAACTCTTCACTTTTTTTCACAAATTTTCAGTTTTTCTCACACTCTTCACCTTCTCTTAGATATGTTTACTTTAACAGATCTTCAATTTCTCTTCAAATCTTATATTTCACAGTGATCACTCAATCTTACACATCTTCACTTTCACATATCTTTAATTTATCTTTAGAACTTCACTTTCTCTTGTAAAATACTTTGCTGATTGTAGATCACACCTTTATTGCAGCTATTTAACCCCCATTGATTGTAGATCACCTTTGTTGCAGCTATTTAACCCCCATTGATTGTAGATCACCTTTGTTGCAGCTATTTAACCCCCATTGATTGTAGATCACCTTTGTTGCAGCTATTTAAGCCCCATTGATTGTAGATCACCTTTGTTGCAGCTATTTAACCCCCATTGATTGTAGATCACCTTTGTTGCAGCTATTTAACCGCCATTGATTGTAGATCACCTTTGTTGCAGCTATTTAACCCCCATTGATTGTAAAAGATCACCTGTATTGCAGCTATTTAAGCCCCATTGATTGGATCACCTGTATTGCAGCTATTTAAGCCCCATTGATTGCAGAAGATCATCTTTATTGCAGCTATTTAACCCCCATTGATTATAAAAGATCACCTTTATTGCAGCAATTTAACCATTGATTGTAGAAGATCACCTTTATTGCAGCTATTTAACCTCCATAATCACCTTGTATCTATAACTCTAGGCGTTTTGGCCAGTATATGTAGCACTAGTTTAGATGAGAGCTGTGCTGGTGTATTCAAAGGTCACTTGCCAAAAACATTAGTCCTTTGATCGCTTCTCAATATTGGCAGTGTTTTTTCTCCTTTAATTACAGTCTGAGATTGACCCAATCATCTTTAATAGGCCTCAGTAATTTCTGGTTAAACCATTGCTGCTGGCATAATACTAACTAATATAACCAAAGCGACAGGCATAACACTACCCACATTAGTTGCTTATCCGTGGTGCAGTAATTTGAAGGCTGTTGAGATGTGTATTGGTAGATACTCTGTACCACATGGGCACCAGCAGGCTCTGTGCTGGTTTGACAGATCCTCTTGCAAGACTCCTGCCACATGTTCACCTTATGTCCTACCGATAAGGTCTCAACTATGTGACCTGAACCGAGCTGGCAAAGGATCTCGGAGTTGGTAATCCCCAGAGCCTCAGTGTCCAGTGTGTCATCAGCCCACCCCCCAGTGCATGGGTAAAAACTAATTTGGAACATGAGGCTGAATATACCACTAAATAACAACTCTCGGTTTCAAGTGAGGAAAAATAGCTGCTAAAACTCAGTCCTAGACCAAGTCATTTGCTCGCAACTTGGACTAGCAACATCTCATGTTGGCATTTTCTCACAAGATAGTCCTGTTTTTGTACAACCTCTGGTGGCCCTTAACGACTTCATCTGATTAGGCCCAAATGTCTGTCAGATGTATGTCCCATGACACAGCAGCACAGTCTTCACTATCAAAAGCCCTACTGGTTGGCAGAAAGTTTCAAAAGTCCGGTACCATTTGCCCCGCTCACCAGAGTGTCAGGACCAAACAGGAAAGCATGCCTTGTGGGTGCTTTTTCCATACTGTCCTGCTACATGTTCAGGTGAAACAACATTAGAGATGTCTAACAGGTGTGAAATTTTTTTACCCATTTGTGTGGCTATAAAAGTTCTGGACCTGCTGGCTGCTCCCTGCTGATCTCTGGAGGGAACAGCCTGTGATGATTGGAAAGCTCATCATGCATGTGCAGTTATGGAAGCCTACTTGGATGGCGGGGAATACCCACGATCTGCCCCTGCCTTCCCTTGAGGGCTGACCTGTCTACATGCGGATGCACTGGACAGGGTCTCCAGGGGCAACACCTGTAGATAAGGGGATAAAGAGAACACCACACAGATAAGCCCACAACTGGTTCCTGTCCCATAAAACTATCCGGGAAGATAACCTGGTCAACAAATGCTCAGTGAAGTCAGATGTGTCAGCTGAAAGGCACAACAGGGTCATATCCATACTATGCAGAGTTCCCAAAGATGGTGTGAGATCTGCAATATAGTTAGTCGGTTTGTCAGACACCGACAAACTATATTTCACCATGGAACATTTAGTTGAAAAAATAGATTCTACACTATCTTTGGTAACTGCATATGGATATTGCCCTGTTTTCCTCGACCCCTGCTTATTTTTCAACATAGATAGCTTTTACCAAGTTCATCAATGATTAGAGCCCCTGGGCACAGTAGTTTTCACTTGATAAAGCCACAAGTATATACAATGGACCCTCAGCATACAAGTTTCTGTAGATGCAAGTTTTTCAGACATGAGGTCAAGCTGACCAATTGGGGAGGGAGGGCGCTAGTTTATGATGTGAAATCAAGGATGCGAGCTGGAGAGATGTGAACTCTCGGTGTTACATAACAGCATCTTGATAACTTTAGAAATGGATTGTGTCAAGATTCTTGATAGCCTTTAACTGAAGTTTTTAGTCAGAACACTGATAGGATGTTTCAGAACACATCCTTCTTTTCTAATGTTGACCTGCTATTTTTCCCTTAGTCATATGTGGTTCCCATCTTATCTTCTTGGGGATTCTCTGCTCCCTCTGCCACAATATATTCTAGCAAATGCTTTTTGTCGATTTTTCAGGATATCACTTTGATGGCACAAGAACTTGAAAAGTTGTTTTTACAGAAAGTTGCAGACATGCCACCTGAGGTGAGTTTTATTTTCTTGTTTACTTGCTGATTGAATTCTGTAAACATCCTATGACAGGTAAAATATTTGTTTCTTGTTCTGAAGATTTTTTTTAAATCTGCATTTTGTTTGCATTGTATGTTTGCACAGCTGTGATATTTGTAAGTGAAAATCTCTGACTGAATATAATCATGAACAAGATTTCATCAAATGTCTGAATAGAACAGACCAAATCATTATCTTGTGATTATACACTGAAATTTTGCAACTCAGCAGATACTTATCAGTGTTTTTGTGCTGAACAGACACCAGTCTTGCAAGACTGTCCGCTCCTGGAGGCATGTACTGAACAGACACCAGTCTTGCAAGACTGTCTGCTCCTGGAGGCATGTACTGAACAGACACCAGTCTTGCAAGACTGTCCGCTCCTGGAGGCATATACTGAACAGACACCAGTCTTGCAAGACTGTCCGCTCCTGGAGGCATGTACTGAACAGACACCAGTCTTGCAAGACTGTCCACTCCTGGAGTGGTTGCAAAGCAGCACGTGGGCACACCCAGTAGACCAGACAACTAACTAAGCTTTTAAGAAATGTAAGAGACATTGAGCTGTTATCCCAGTTTATGACTTACAGTGGATTAAGCACATGACCAGAGATGGCCAAAAGAGAAGAAGACCACTGCAGTTGCTGTGTGATCATCACCTGCAGTTGCATCTACAGCCATAGGAAAAAGTCCTTTACTTCACTATAAACTCATTACAGCTGGAATACAGCATCTTGTGAATGTTATCAGCAACCAAGAGATTTGTAGATTTAAAGTGTTTACAGCTGTTCTTATTCACATACACCTTCATGTGTTTCTATATAAAGTTTTTTTTAGGATTCTCGCTGGTGCTACGGAGTTCATGCACTGCAGCTGAGATTCCGCGGACTCGAGCTTGAGTCAGAAGTGGAACGGAGCACTTATGGGTTACTACCCTTGTGCCATGATGTTGATCCGTCGCCTAAACCTAGATTGTCAAGAGCTGTTCTAACCTGATGGTGGGAATGTTTGAAGTATGGAAGAATGTAACAGGTCTAGAGAAATGTGTATGTGGAAATTATCCTCTCTGGTGATTAAGAGTCAGATATAACAAAATGCAAGAATATACATTTACATATAGGGAAGCATAAACTTTTTTGTATTATCATCTTCCTGTGTCATAATGACTGGCGTGGGCAATTGTGCCTCTCCACAATCTGCCATCTTCAGCAGGATGTATCAGTTTGTATCTTGACAACGCTCCATGCCATGACAAAAGGCTATCTATAATCTTCTCACACTGTCTTCCCGTGTGTCTCTTTCTACAGATCTTTCCAGTGGTCACAACATATTCCAGTTTACTACTCATAATATAATTAAAAAAAAATTATGGCTGTCTCTTACTGATGTTTGTTATAAGTTGTCTTCGAGCCCTTACCTCTTTCAAGATAGCTGGATTGCTTTAAAAAAAATTTGTTTTCCAAAACCTTATTTCCGGGCCTCAAGAAGTTGTTTGGCTTGATTATTAATTGTCCAGGATTAAAAAACTGGCTCTATATAGCATGACAAAATTCTGTCTCCCCCCCCCCCCCCCCCCCCCCACCAGCCTCCAATGACATAGGTTTATTACATAAAGTTTATCTATACTGCCTGTATGCAACACTTTTTAGAACGGTATAAGATTGGGGAGTGTGGAGGCGTTCTCAACCATGACGATTTAGGACACATGACTAGTTTCGTCGCCACAGTTGCGCAGGTTAGTGTTTATAAAAAATGCTCCCATGACAGAAGAAAGCCCCCTTATTGAAGATTTCAAACAGGGTCTTAAAATGAGAGCCCAGCTTTCTTAACCACTCGGCCTTCTTTTTGTAAAAGGCTGTCACAAAAATTATTTATGTGTACCATATTTTAGCGAAAAGGACATATTTATGGTAATACAGATATAATCTTTTAAAAAAAAATATTTTTAGGAAATCGAACTTCCAGTTGGTGGCAAGAAAGGAAGGGGAGCTAAAGCTGCAGCAGCAGCTGCTGCCCGATCAGCTTTAAAGAATCTCAACTCTGAGAATAGGGCAGTCCCTTCAGCACCAATTCCAAGGAGCACCCCACCTCGATCAGCTACAGCTCCAGCTTACCAGTCCCCATCTAAAGCAGCTTTACTTGCTGCTCCAGCTAACAACAGTATGTCAGCACTCACTGGCTCCAAGTTATCTGCGGCTCTGCAGGAAGAGCTTCAGCCTGCTGCTGCTGCCGCACAGACATTACCTGCTGCTGTTTTACCCTCTCAGCCTGCTAAGGTATGATGCTTGTTCTTATTTTACGGGATGAACAGGAGTAATGATATCAGTTTTATGTGTAGCTGCTGAACATTAGACAAGATGAGAACTGTTTGAAATTATACCTTTGGTATCATCTAGGGCTGGCAAACTGTTTAGCTCTTTTAGCCAACCCCTAGTAATTTCTTACATCTCCTTATCGTATCAGTTCTTGATTGTTGTTTAGGTTTTCTAATCTTCTGCCGATGTTAAGGAGCCGCAGCGGTGTAGCGAATAAAGAATCACACCTTACCTCAAGATTGGGGGCTTGAATCTGTATCGATATTTGTTTTTGACACCAACCTTGGCTTCCTGGTCGACATGGCCTAAAATAGGACCAGGTAAAGTCCTGGGAAGTAAAGGCAGCCAGCATATATATGTGTGTGTGTGTATGTGTGTGCTTTCATGAGTGAGTGAATGAGAGTTTTTGTTTTTTGCTTATGGATATTGGATGTTAGTCTCCCTATGTGGGATCCGGGGCCTTATTATAGGGAAAACAAGAATAAACACAGTGCGTCCCCAACAGGCATGTTGTAGGAGTCGACTAATTGAGGCTTTCTTCGAAGTCAGAGTGCATCTACCTGAGTGGCAAGGAAAAAACCAACTGCACACAAAGTAAGTAAGTAAAATGTTTATACACACAAAATGCAGGCTCAGGTGCAAAGCTAGAGTCCAAATGGACGAACAAGGATGATCTGCCTGAGCTTACAGCTGGTGAACAAAGGAGGAGGAGGATGTTTGTGCTTCCAACTTTATAACAAACAGGTAATCTCATAATTGCTGAAGTCCTGTGCTGGAGAAAACCGCTCAGAATGCCTATCAGTGTCCCTTGTTGGAAAATGGCAAAGCCAGCAGCACACGCACAATGAAAAATATAAGGCAGCTGCCAGAAGTGTTGGGCTACAAGGCATAAAGAGGTAAAATCGTTTGCATTCTCACTTGTCGGTTACTATTACTTTAGGTCCTCATGCATCACATTCCATTTTTGGGGAAGGTAGGTAGCAACAGGACGAGTATTCCTCACCATTAAAGGAGGCTGCCACTGATGCAGAGAAAATATGATCTTCTTAATTTACTCTGTTATGATTATTTCTAATGGCTTCTATTCAGTGAGATTATTAAGTACCATTGTCTGCTTTAGTTGGGTGGATTTAATCAAGACTAGCTCCAGCTGCCGGTGTCACTAAACCGGGCTATCAGTATGCTAACAAAGCGTTTCTCAAACTGTTTTCGACAGGCCCAAAAAATGTCGCGGCACACCTACCCTTCAAGCGGTTGGAATAGTTGAGAAAAGAAGGGGGAAAAACCAGTGCAAATTTAATGTCAAGCAAATTTGGAAAAATTACTGATTATTGCCGCGGCACCCCTGACAAATGCCTGCGGCACCCAGTGTGAGAATCTGCGTTAACATATCGTTAGGCCGGTTTGGTGATGTCAGCAGCATGGCTCGTCAGCTGGAAACAGTCTGGGATTTAATATAACAACTAGTGCTAAAACTTATGTCTAACTCTAGAGACAAATCAGTATTGCTGTATGGAGCTGAAACATGGATTCCAGTGAATTGAGAGGTGAGGATGAGACGTTGGATAGGATACAACATAGACGTTGGATAAGAAACCTTCAGAGAAGATCTAAGAACAGTATAACTATATTGTCTTTACACTGGAACCCACAGGGGCATATACATAAACGCAGAGAAAAACCTAGAGAAAGGAGAGAGTGAAGTTTAAAAAAAAGGGGAAAGACATGGGATGGCGTTAGTTGTTTGAAGCCTGTGCTGCATTGGAGGATAAAGGACAGAAGAGAATATAACTGTCTGGGACAAAAAGATTTGATGCATCCTAATGTGTACTTGTATTATTTATCTCTTCTAGCCAAAGAAGAGTTTGAAGCGGAAAGCTGACACAACAACACCTGGTACTTACATTGGCTCAACAAATGTACCTCCAGCACTTTATGACTCTCAGTATGAACCAATGAAAATTAGTGGCAAAGGTCAGCCCAATCGTAGAGAAAGCGTTCGTCAAATTAAAAAACCCAGACGAGACCTCCTTGACGAGCAGGGAAATGTAAGTGATGCCAGTGTAAGTGTGTGCAACAATTTTGTGGCGCATTTTCTCTTTTCTTAATTAATTAATTAAGTATTATTATATTTGTAATTCTATGCTGTTGTCTCTATGTGGGTCCCAGGGACCCCCACTGCCACCCATAACAAACATGTCGTAAAAGATGATGAAGTCAAGACTGCATCTACCTGAGTGGCAAGGAACCAACAGTCTGCATGGAAACAAACAAAAAACAGATCTGTAAAATGGATGCAATCTCAATCTGGAACAAGACAAAAGTGGACGAATGAGCAGAATTTTTAGCTAAAATTTACTGCTGGTGAACGCTAAGAAGATAATGATGATGTCATTGTGTATTGGATGTATGAACTGTAATGTGATGTTTGTTTTTATTAAATTATTCTAGGCTTCCACACCAGCTGAACTCTTTGAGTCTCAGACGGTAAAAGCTGATGTCTAAGATTTTTTGAAAATGACACCAAACTGGTGGATGATTGACTTCCACAGTGACCAGATACACAAGCCTTATAGTAAACAAATATATTGTCTGAATGTTGTAGGTCCCTCTTTGAACAGATGTTTACAAATTAAAAAAAATATACATAACACACTCATAGGGATGCATGGATGATATCCAGTCACATATGGTGCATTTGCTTTGGGTCTGAAAGAGTTAATGATCAAATTCTCCATGAGTGTTGAGCGTCGTCCAGATCCCAGGGCTGCTCCCCGCTGCACCATTCTTTTTATAGACCGTGTTGCTACTGGCAGGATCCTGTAGCTTGGTTGTGGGGCTAGTTGCTATTTCAGTGCATAGTAGTATCACCCAAGCATTATCTTCTTCCTACTTTCACTTGCATAAATTCCTGGTTGATCATCCACTTCTGGACTTTGGTCTTGGTCCAAGAGCTGAGTTTTGCTTACAATCCGTTTATTTATGTGCTAGACTGTTTGCCGCTCATCTCTCATGCAGGTTTGTTCCAACTGTGAAGAAAATATTGATACAGGCCCCTAGTTGGGAACCAGCTTCTAGGTCGACTGCAGAGGTGTAGATCAGTCTTAATTAGCATGATGAGTCCTGGTGCACCACGTGTGGTTCAGCACCTCTGCATCCCCAACCCTAGTATTACAATGACATCAATTTCTGGTGACTTGCATGTGGTTATTTCATACAACCCATGCGGTAGAACAATCACAGTGTAACCAGTTGCTAGCCAGTGTCTGCAGTTCTTCTTCTTCCTGTTCACTGGCTCTAAATTCTAGCGGCAAGTTCTAGTTGTTTGTCCACTTGTGTCCCAGAACCTGAGTGCTGCCTGCACATCCACTTTACAGATCTGATTTGTTTGTATATTGCTTTCTTGTCTGTTAGGCAAATGCACTCCCAACTTAAAATAAGTCCACAATTAGTCAACGCCACTGACATGCTTGTTGGGGAGATGGTCAACATCCTTTACTTCCCAGGACATTCACCAGCTACCTCCATAAGACTGGGTCGACCCGGGAGCCAAGAAAGCCCGGTTCCGTCCGAACCTGACTCCAAGACCTTTTGATCCGCAGGGGAGCCACTACACCACAGCGACTCCCTAAAATATTATTTTGTGAGACCCCAATCAGGACAGTGTTAACAGAATTTAAATAAAATGGCATTCTGTTTTGTAATTGTATAAATATAGAAAACCGAAAGATTGACTGTGGATCACTTTCATTGTACATGAATATCTACTAGGTGTTTGTGTGAGCCGGTGGTTTCTAATATCACATGCCAGCCGGAATTCTTGGGTCTTACTTATTCTTGTTTGGTTGAGAAACAGGTCTCACTTATTCTTGTCTGGTTGAGAAACAGGTCTCACTTATTCTTGTCTGGTTGAGAAAACAGGTCTCACTTATTCTTGTCTGGTTGAGAAACAGGTCTCATTTATTCTTGTCTGGTTGAGAAACAGGTCTTGTTTATTCTTGTCTGGTTGAGAAACAGGTCTTGTTTATTCTTGTCTAGTTGAAAAACAGGTCTCACTTATTCTTGTCTAGTTGAAAAACAGGTCTCATTCTTGTGTGGTTGAGAAACAGATCTCACTTATTCTTGTCTAGTTGAAAAACAGGTCTCATTCTTGTCTGGTTGAGAAAAAGGTCTTACTTATTCTTGTCTAGTTGAAAAACAGGTCTCACTTATTCTTGTCTAGTTGAAAAACAGGTCTCATTCTTGTCTGGTTGAGAAACAGGTCTTACTTATTCTTGTCTAGTTGAAAAACAGGTCTCATTCTTGTGTGGTTGAGAAACAGATCTCACTTATTCTTGTCTCCATATCTTTTTTTCTGCTTCTCTTCTTCTGCATTCTCCCTAGAATGGGCAGTTCTAATTTGTGTTGTGGTTTACAGCTAGGCTGTAATATCTCATCCTTTTGGATAACGTTATGCTTTATATCCCCCAGGAGAACATCAGTTGATTCACTTAAACCCTATGTTTTTTTTACATTTTCTACAGCTCCCTCAATGCCGTGCCCATTTTATTATTGTCTGTCTCTAATTCTCTGTAATTTTAGACCTTACTCTCTGTTTCTTTTGCCATGTAGGCTCTGAAGAACACATTTTCTAGATATACCATTAATCAGTTTTCTCAGCATGTGTCTTGTGCGTCTCCAACCTCTTGATTTTACTGGAATGTTGTTAAGCTCCACATTGAAGATTCTGCCATTACTGTATTAGCACCAGTTAGTGAATGTGGTATTTATTATAGTCGGTCTTCATGTGTGTCGGCGTCTGTGTCTTAGGGGATGTGAACACGCTTTGTAGGATTCTGAAGATAATGTTCAATTCCATTGAGGCAAAGTTAAGTCACGTGTATAAGCAGCATACTCTGTACCCCACTCGGGCGCCAGTCCTTCACTGTATTGTACGGAACCTCATGCAAGACTCTGCTGGCACTCCCCGTCGTGCGCCAGATAATGTCTCAAAATGAGCATTAACAGAGTTGGCAGGGGATCTCGGAGCTGGCGGCCCCTAGAGGTTGTAGTGTCCTTTCTGGCTCTCACCAGCCTGCCCCCAAACGCATGGTGAAAAGCCTAAAAAAACTCAAGGATTGCTTGCTAAATGTACATCAAATGACAACTCTTGGTTAAAATTCGGAGCCATGGAAAACTGTGCTGCTGAGACTCAACCCTGACCGAGAGAGTTTACCCGCAGCCAAGACGAGTAATTCTTGTGGGAGACTTCTCGCAGCGAGATCCTACCTACGTACATCCTCAATCCTTAGTGTCGTCGTCACCTCACCGCGCTGATACACCACGGCAGCAAACTTTTCATATGCTGGCATGTCCGAACAAAGTTATACCACACACACATGCAAGCTCAAAGTCCGACGAATCATAATTCGTACCGATTAGGAAAATGTCGTAATGTCCGTATCCACTGGTCCAACTCGCCCGAGTTGCTTTGAAGCCACGCCTGACTGCATTTTGCTTCCCCATTCTGTCGTGCTTAAGGGCACAGCTGAAACAACGTTATCGGTGTCTAACGTAAGATGAAAAAAGAATGTACCTATTTGTGTGGCCACAAACGTCCTAGACCTGCGGGCTGCTCCCCGCTGATCTCCGGAGAGCGCAGCCTTGTAGCGTGGGAAGCTCAATACACTGTTGTGAGGTTAAGCAGTCATGGGCAGGACGTGACGATTCCTTGGGTGAGCCCAGAACCAGAGCATCATGTGTTGGCTCTGCATTTATGGAAGCCTCCTTGGATGGCGGGGAATGCCCATGATCTGCCCCTGCCTTCCCTTGAGGGCTGACAATTCTACATAGAGCTGCCTTAAGGACGACATTCCGGGGGCCACACCTGTTAATGGTCAAAGAGGACACCACACAAATAAGCAAACATCTCGACCCATACAAAACAATGGCCACAGTCAACCTAGAAATAGGCTTGACGTCTTCCCTCGAAGTCGGAGTACATCTGCCGGAGAGGCGGGGAACGAGAACTGCAAACAAATAAGCCAGTAAAACGGATGTACACGCAAAACTCAGGTCAAGGTAAAAGCCAAAAGTCCATTTTGGACGAACAACCGCGACTTACCGCCGGAATTCACAGCCGGTGAACAAGAAAAAGAAGAAGAAGAATTCCAGCTGCAGGTGATTTGGCAGCAGAGCACTTTGCGTTCATATTGACAATGGCAAGGAGAGCCGACCAAATAAGAAGCAGTGGCAAACCTCTGTGCTTTATATGTTGGAGCTAAATATTCAAAGTTTAGGGATATAATTATTTTCCTTTTGATTTCCACTAATTGCCTAGTGCTTTTACAGTCTCTACTTGCTCTTAGTTTACTGTGGATAGAAACATATTGGTATAATTTACTGTTCAGCTTTGATCAACATCATTTGTCTTCTGCATGACTCAAGAGTTTCCACTTAGTCAGTGAACTTGTTGTTGGCTTGTTTTCATAAGGAAAGTTAAGATTGGATACTGTTTGAGCAGGCAGCCGTTATTGTGTAGTGGCTAGATGCTCACCTGTGGATTGGAAAGTAGTGGGTTCGGGTCTTGGCGGTACGGGGCGTTTTAAAAAAATGACCCTGGCTCCTAGGTCGACTCAGCCATGAATGGGTACCAGGTGAAGTCCTGGAAAGTAAAGACGGCCAGGGTGATGCTGACCACATCACCCACCAACGTGCTGATCTAAAATATGAGTCTAACCCTGTGTGCCCAGTACACCTGACAGGGTGTAAAAAGGGGTCCTTTTATTTCTACCATTTGAGCATAATTTACTACTACTTGACTACCTCTGAGCTGGTGATACTGTTGTGAGTTGCTCTGTAGTTGTTGTCATGTTGTGAGAAGATCTCATTGTACTGCTAAACCTCTGCTACTGGATATAACCTGAGTCAACATCGGTCATGCCTCAGCAAGCTCCCCACCACCCACACAGAGAAAGCTCATGCTTGCCTGACTGGTCTGCACTGAGCTCATCTCACACAGCTGAAAGCTTCCACTTGTAGTGTCAGGCTTTGGTTTATTATTCATTCAGAGTAGCCAAGCAAGAGACATTATACATGTATGAAATCAATATGACCATTTTCAAAATGTGTCGTAAAACTCCTGCTCTTAAAACCACTACTTGTTTTGTCCCGAAAGCGGTGTGTATTTTATTTAACATTTTCTTGAAGTTAGAGGTAATTGTTTGACAAGCAGGTCTTGGGTGTAAAGTGTTATAGATAATCTAATTTAGAAAGTTGTCGAAATGATCAAATGAGAAAGTACATCAACATTTGGTTTATTTTTATTGCTCATTCAAAGGGGATGGATCAATAAATAGAAACAGTAAGCGTTTTTTGAATGAGGTATTTTACTTGTAAAAAATCAAAATTGCTATTGACTAAGTGGGAAAAAAAAAAAATAACCCCAGATTTTTAGCAGAAGTGCTGTGTGTTTTGAAGTAGAAAACAGGTAATTTCTCATGATTGTTTGACATGCAGATACGCTCAATATCTCGAGTTTGGAGTGTCAGATTAGGTGCTGTCTTCACAATAAAAGTTGGCTGCAGCATATTTTCAATACTCTGTGTTTATCTTGGTAATATACTTTCAGACTTCTGTTTGTCCATCTTTTGTTGTTGTCCTCCCGCTTGTATCTTTGTTGTCTGCCTCTATTTTTTGTGCCCTAGAATTTTCCCTACAGCATGGTTTTTAAAATTCTGTAGGAGGAGAGTATATGTGAAATAAGTCATTCACCGATAGTGATAGGTCACAGTTGACAAAGTGATGAATACTGACATGGTTAGGTCAAAGAAGTCAAGCACACAGACCTGAGTTAAAGATTGAAATCATAGTACTCTGGATATTCCTGTGAGTGCTCCATCCCTGTCTTCAGCAGCCAGCTTAGTTTTAGTAATAGTGGTACCAGTAGAGCCTGATCATATATCTTTCCTTTACTCTGGTCCAAGACTGAGGACTGTGGGGAATGACATTTCATGATTGCTGATTCTGGCCTGTCAGGTGCTTAATGAAGATGTCAGTGAACAGTAATTTGCAGATGTTTGTAACTAAGCATGTTTATTACATTGGCATTGTTGGTAACTTTCAGGCACAGCACAGTTCAAAAGGCAAGAAGGGCAAACTGACGGAACAAATGCGCTATTGTAGTTCGATCGTGAAGGAGCTCATGACAAAGAAACATCAGGTATGGGCAAAGGCTGGATAAAAATGTGTATTCTCCTGTCAACAATCAACAACATCTTGTGCCAGTTGACATATTTTATTCTGTTTAGTGCAGTATTTTTTTTATATCAAGGATCTAATCCAGTCCAGCAATTGCTTTTCACAGATAAGTCAAGGGACCCTTTTTTCACGCCTGTAGGCGTATTGGGTATTTAGGGCATCACGCCAGCCGCTTTTACTTCCCAGGACTGTACCTGTACCCACTCAAGGCTGGGAGGCAAGGTCATTTTTTTAAAATAGGCATTGTTTGTGCCTATTAACAGTGCTGGTTCTCTTGAGTTACTCCCACTGGTGAAAAGATGTAATTTAACAACATAGTATGAGTTACTCTCTAGATTGTCGTACATAATGCACCGCAAAGTAGGATATATTATTTTTCATGGCAGTGACCCTGTCATCCAGTGTCGACCTGGGTCATAAAAATAAACACGACTACTTAATTTTATATTTTGTTCTTCTTCCCCTTCTTTTCTCTACATTCTCTTTCTGCTGCTGCTGCTGCCTTTCATCTGCTAGTGTAGTCAAGACCGTCAGTCATCACCAGTTTTGGGCCAGCATCCTTTTTTTTAAATCTTTTTTGTGTGTGACATGATGAGTGCAATATTAACTATTTTGTGCCCTGAAAGTAGGCCTAGAAAGCTGACAGTGGATAACATACTGCAGTAAAGTGTACACAAAGTTAAAAATTCATTTATCAAAACTATTCAGCCATAAATCACATAAATAAGGGAGGCTGTAGAAACTTTATGTAGTATAATAGTGTATTGATCAGCACTTGTAGAAAGATAAAAAGCTATAAATCAGAACTTTGCATCTCCTTCAGAGAGGAAATTAGAGGAACTGAAGATGTGATTTGCATGTAATGTACAGATTTGACCGACCAAATTGTTTATTTAGGGTAATGCTTAGTTGCTGCAACTTTGTTCTTCATACAGGCATATGCATGGCCATTTCTAAAACCTGTTGATGCAGAAGGCTTGGGACTGCATGATTATTACGATATTATTAAAAAGCCCATGGACCTTGCTACAGTGAAGGTTAGTTGAAAAAAATATTTTTCTTTATAATTTGTTAACTCAATGTTCAAATACTATAGTTCCCTCGAAGTCTTGAGTGCCTCTGCCTGAGAGGTGAGGAATCAGCAATTTGAATACAAATAAGCCTGTTCTGTAAAATGGATGTGCTCGCACAAAAGTTCTGGAACAGAGTAAAGCCCCTCTTTGTGTACACCAGCTGTAAATTCCAGCAGCAATTTCTGGGTTTTGTCCACTTCCAAACTTTAGTTTTGTTCCAGAACCTGAGTTTTTCATGCACATCTGTTTCACAGATCTGGCTTAAATCTATGCATACTCATGGTACCTTGCCTTTTCATGCTGATGTACTCCAACTTCAAAGAATTCCCCCAATTAGTCGCCTCCTATGGCATGCTTGGGCAGGCAGTGAATTTATTCTTGTTTTCCCCACAATGGGGTACCAGGACCCACACGGGGAGACTCAAATAAAAGTCCAGGAGTGGACCGACTAGAACTTTTCCAAATAGTTTACATTTTTCATGTCATCTGACCCTGGAGTGTTCTCGAGGCATGGTGTCTGCCTCGAGTGCTAGAGGTTCTGGGTTGAATCCCCGGTAAGGGCTGGGATTTTTTTTGCGTGGGCTTGGACGTCTAGCAATTCCCATTGGTCTCTAGGTAGTGAGATCGGACTTCCGTATGCATTGTTGCGCACATAAAAAAATCCCCCTTGCAGTTATTAATCCAAAAGAGTAGCCTAATGGCGTTGCCGAGGGAAAATTTGGAGTTAGATATCTACCCAAAGTATTTTAGGATCCTCTCCGGTGCTACAGAGCCTGTGAACTGTGCTGAGCTTCTTCGGACTCAGACTTGAGTAATAAGAAGGATCACTTATGTGTTATTCCCGTGTGCCATGATGTTGATCCATTCAAAACCTGAAACCTGACCCTGGAAAGAGCCTGCATCTGTCATTTATGTTGGTGCTCTTCTCTTTCACCCTGATTTTAAAGCACCACTTGCCATGGACTTGTTTCCTACTCCTTCAGGCTCAGAAACCAGACGATCCTCCAAAGGTTTCAGGTTGAACTTAGAACCGACATCTTCACTTGCCAGTACCATTAGTATTGATGGTACCAGTAGCTATCTGAATCCATCTTCCTTTCCTCTTGAGTGTTGAGTGCCGGCCAGATCCCCAGGTCACTTCATGTTTCACCATTCTCTTTAGACTGATCATCTATTTGTGCATCTGTACTGTTCACATCCTGCTAAAGAACTTTGACCACAGCTAGGTTTTAGGTACAGGGTCTTCTCGACTTACAACTGAGTTTCGTTCCAACGAACAGGTCATAAGTTGAATTTATATTTTTCAGCATTAGTTTCATTCCAAAGGGTCTAAAATAAATTGTACATCAAAACACAAAAATTCAAACTATGTGCGTACAATTAGAACCTGCTGTACTCTCGTCATCAGTTCCGCATACTTTTTGACCCTACCAAGTATTCTTTTTTCTGTACTTTTTTTTTTACTTTAAAAAAAAAAAAACAATTTAAATCACAATGTGAGCAGTAGGTTATTTGGATGATCAGACTGTAGATGATGGGAAATATGAACTTTTTGTAAATGCTGTTGCTAATGTTAGAACACAATTAAATCCCCCCTCCACCCCAAGAGTATGGTCATGGCTAGAGAGAGACAAAGACAGAAATTATAGTCATCTCTTTTAATAGGGGAAACAAGGGAATATCTTCTTTTGTGAAGGAGAAAATATATAAACAAAAGTTGTGGTTTACAGCTAGACTGCGATATCTGCATTATTTTGACCCGACACATTGAAGTTAAATTAACCCGTAATTAATGGCATTTTACAGCATGCTTGTTAAGGGGTAGTGGATGTTTTCTTTTTTTCTCTTCCAAAATGGTGCCCCAGATGGGAATAGTATTTGTTTTGGCTCTCCTTGCAGTACCGGACGAGGGCTGGACGCGGGCTGGATGGCGTAGTTTGGTTTAGTGGGAGTTCTCTCCCTTGGCCGCACTGGAAACAGTGAGCGGAAAAGTCACGAAACAAATGACATACTTACCTATCATCATACGGTTGCGTGTATGGTTGCGTAGTCATCATACGATTGCGTGAAGGCTTGCGTAGTCATCATACGGTTGCGTAGTCATCATACTGTTGCGTGTAGGGTTTGGGTTAGGGTTAGGGTTAGATGTGAAAATTTTGACATAGGAGTTCCAAATACTGGCCGACAATCTGATGCTTGTTGGAGTGGCGCCACTGACAGTCTGCCAAATATGACGGCAATAGCGCGCGGCTGGTGCCCAATCAGTGGCGAATTGTCCATAGCATCCACAGTCCGTCGACTGTTTTGGTGTGTATGTGACTGTGCGTGATTATAGCAAACTCCTGCGTCAAAATTGTCACATCTAACGCTAAACCTAACCCTAACCCCAACCCTAACCCTACCCCCAACCCTACCCCTAACCCTACCCCTAACCCTACCCCTAACCCTAACCCTACCCCTAACCGTAACCCTAACGTTACCCCTACCCCTAACCCTAATCCTACCGCTAACCCTAACCCTAATCCTACCGCTAACCCTAACCCTACCCATAACCACGCGAATTTATCGGTCATTAAAGCATACAGATCAGCAAAAACCAAAAAAAAAACCCAGATTTCCCCTCAACGTAAAAAAAAAAAACCCCAGATCTGGGGGACACAACCAAGCATTGGCAGCCCTGATATCGACCTCACTGTCTTCTTTGATTCGTGACTTTTCCGCTCACGGTTTCCAGTGCGGCCAAGGGAGAGAACTCCCACTAAACTGAACTAAGCCGTCCAGCCCTCATCCGGTACTGCAAGGAGAGCCTTTGTTTTTAAAGCTAACATAATTATATCCCTATGCAACAGAAAAAGATGGAAGATCGTGAATACAGAAGTATTGGTGAATTTGCTGAAGATGTTCGACAAATATTCCACAACTGCTACAGGTACAACCCTCCAGATAGTGATGTGGCTAAAATGGGTAGAAAACTACAGGTGAGTTGGATGTCACCAAGTGATACAAACATTCTCTTTACTATCCACAATACATATCACACGCACACACACACACACACACACACACACACACACAAACACACACGCCCACCCTCCCACCCCAAGTGTATCTGTGTCAGTAAGTGCATGGTATTTCTGGACGGTTGTTGCGGCATGCTTTAATCCTGGTAGACTGTTAACAACCTGGGACATGTCGCCAGGGACTGTGATCCCCATGCCTCCCTGTAGCACAGAACAGCGGAAAGGTGCGAACACACACATGTGTCTGCTAATGTTGCAAGCTGTATGTTGGATTATTAATCCTGTTTGACTTCCTGCTAAGTGCTGTTGTGTGACTTGGCAGTGTTTGTAGGCTGGTGGTGGTTTGCAGATTCAGTCACTTGATTGGTGCAAACCTTTTTGTAGACTATTCAGCATGCCATCTCTACCTACCACAGTAGCCTTGTCCGCAAGTCTGCCAGCTTGTTTATCTTTATATTCCTAAATATTCAAAATTTACGAATACCCCTGGATATCATTGCCGGAGCTACAGTGCTCGTGCATTGCTGCTGAGAGAGATCTAAACAAATGACATAAAATTTGGTGCTGTGAATTTCTTGTAAATTATTTTTGAGTCAAGTTCAGATTTATGCACAAAAACAACTGGTTAATGCCATATATCCAGATCATATCAAGTCATGAAAAAAACCAAAATGATGCTTTACTTGCAGGCTCACTGTTGCCATAGCAGCTATCAGTGTGGAAGAGTCACATATATTATGTCAAGGCATAACATGGCAGAGTGCACTCCTATGTTTCTGCTGGCTTTCCAAACTAGAATGAGAAAACAATTTGAGCACCAAAGGTTGATCCCTGGGTGATATTGGTGAGAGAAATGAGGCCATTTCTGCAGTTGCAAGAAGTTAAGCCCATGTTCCCTGTTGGAAGATGAGTGCACTAACCTCTTGTCCACCTTCATTATCAAGTGACTATATATGTCTGGTGATCTTAACTGACATCCTATACAGTGGTACCTTGGAATTTGAACGCTTCAGAAATCAAACACCCTGGAACCAGAATGAAATTTTTCAAGGAAATTTTGCCTCAGAACTTTAATGCTGCCTAGGAGATGGAACACCAGGCATGTGCCAGCCATGTGCTATCACACAGCACCGCCCCTAAGCTTGTTTTTCATATACTGCGCCTAACATATCTCCCAGGTCGTCATTTTAAATAATTTTCACAGCTAATTTTACGAATTTGTGCTTGTTCTTATTTTTTTAAACTTTTTTTTATATAAAAGACCAAAATGAATCAGTTATATTGTTCAAAATTAGTTTTGAAAAGTAAGAGAAAAGCTATTAGCGCAACAGTGGCCATTTAAAACAAATGGCTAAGCATGAAAGTGGTGTCCGTTCTGTGTGAACTTTGAGCTTGTTGGGTCGGGAAGTGCACTAAGCAGGAGAGCTGACGAGAGACAAGATTTATTTTGGCAGAAAATGATAAGAGGGATGTTCTGCATAGGACCTGCAACATGATGATGATGACAAACTTAGAATTGAGCAAGTTAAAATACCCAAAGTGTGCAACATTACAATTTAAAGCTGTATTACTGTCCACTATAGGAAGTATTTGAAATGAAGTATGCCCGCATGCCTGAAGAACCAGTCCAGGCTGATCCAACACCACCCTCATCTGTGGCCTCAGGTTTGACCCGAGGGGATGAAGGTAGTGGGGTTTCTTCCAGTGAGGACAGTTCTGATGACAATGACAGTGAAGAAGAAAGAGAAAGGAAACTGAGAGACTTACAAGATCAAGTAAGTTTCTGCATGTGTGAAGGTAAGGATTGTCTGAGAGAATAGTCAAGTTCAGTGTTGCCCTCTGAAGTGATCATGAGTTTTCCAGATTTGTCTTAATGCAAAGAATAAAATCATTCGGCCATCTACTGAGAATGCAGCCAGACCAAACTGCATATGATACTTTTTACAGTAGAGCCTCTGGGAGAAAGGCAAACCACTGAGAAGTGCAAAACTCAGAAAACCACAGCACTGGGCTACTACCTGGTAATAGTGAAACGACAAAAACAAAACACAATCTGCAGCCTTTTCTTCTGTCTGTTTCTATGTTGCCTTCAACTCATTGACACACGGCATTCACAAGTGACCATTGCAGCCTGTCTGCTGCTTTCCTGCATATGTTATCTCATGCCATTTTACATGTACTTATTTGTCTTTCTGCAGTTTTCCTTAAGTCCTCCACATCTCCTTTTCCCATCTGCCGTCCATCAAAGATTTCTTTGTCAAAATGTCTTGAAGCATTCTGCAAACATGTACAAGACATTTCCATCTTCTTCCTTTGATAAAGTTTGCCAGTGATGAACAGTTTTTTTCACTACACCCCCTCCTCTACCCCCACCCCTTTTCCCCGCTGAGGGGATGCAGTGTTTTCATGTGTTTGAATGTCAGTTTGGATCATTTTTCAGCTGAAAAGTGCCAATTTTGCAACCCAGCTGTAAACCACAACACAATGTGTCAGACGTCTTAAGGGCAAACACAAAGAAAGATCTAACTAATCTACTTAAGACTTGGCAAAAAAATGTGAATTATCTGTTTCTTATGCAGATAGATGTTTCTCTGTGTCACTACCTGTCAAGACATTTTTATAAGTACGTTAGTCTGACCATGTTGTTCTTATCATACTTCTGTAAAAGTGTAAGTCAGCATTTTTCTACATTATTTCTCAATAATATTGTGAATACCCATGATAAAGGTGGATCATCATCATAGCTAAATAAATGAGCTGGTGTTTTTGAAAACTGGTTAGAAAAAGTAAGCTCACTGTCAGCGCATCAAACCATAAAGATAGATAGTACATGGAGAAGTCAGTCACTGTGTTGTCATCATAGCCGGGGCAGTGGGTAAATAACAGGCCTAGATGGGGGTGGGTGTAAAGGGAAGATTACAGGAGGTGCTGGACAAGACACAAGCATTTCAAGGTGATACAAGTTGTTATATTGTCACAGTCGTCACTACACAGTGGGCACTTTCATGCATGCTCAGTCCTCCCGATGCAGCAGCCACCCTAAGGTACCGCTGGTGCTATGAGTGGTGGTTTGATGCAAAAGTTTCCAGCATAAAGGACATCATTTGCTTGATTGTTGACATGTAATGACATGGACAGTGCTTCATGTGTAATTTACCATGCACCGAAAAGACAAAGGCTGAGACTGGCCAAAGCTTTAACAATAACAGTTAACAACCTCCTTATGCAGACTGAAGGAATTAATTATAAATTTGAGCTTACCCTGGTAAATCATGCAACTGTCGTGAACATCCATCAAATATATGGACAGTGTACAGAGGGAAGCCATTTGTATTTTAGTGGAGTTTCGGTTTTTGTGCTTTATTATAAGCTCAGGTAACTGTAGTAATGCCTCTTTTGAGATACCGCGAAATATGCCTCGCAATAAATTATCTGCATTATTTAAATATCGGGACAGAGACTCTATGAAAATATTTGAGAAATTTGTTGCAAGAATTTATTTTACTAAAGCAAATCTATGTATTTAAAAAAAATACTTTGTATAGCATTAACAGTTTATTTCCTTGCTTTGGATCTTTCCTCATTAGCTGGCCAAAGTCCAGGAGCAGCTAGCTTCACTTACCAGGGAGCATGTGCAACGATTGAAAGACAAAAGTGAAAACAAGACCAAGAAACCCAAGAAGGAAAAGAAAGAAGAAATTAAGAAAGAACTTATAGACAATGTGAATCCACCACAGCAGGTGCCTGTGGCTTCCTTGCCGCCGCCGGCTCTCACAAAAGACACTCCAAAACCCAAGAAGAAATCAAAACAAAAGTCACCTGCTGTGAAAAAATCAAGAAACAACAGCATTACTAGGGCAGGCTCAAATCGCAAACGCTCGGTGTTACCACCTCCTTCTCTGACCGTACCACCGTTTGACAGCGATGACGAAGACAATGCAAAGCCGATGACTTATGACGAGAAGAGACAGCTGAGTCTTGACATCAACAAGCTGCCAGGTATAGTTTATTGGATTTCCAGCGGCTTGCTTGCTTGTGCTTAGTCATAATGTGTCATGATTATTCAAGTTTAGCTGCTGAAGGCTTTATAACCATAATGTTTATTTTTTCATTCTGGAGTGTGATATTTTGAAGCTGACTAGTTCTGTTTCTGGTTGGGATTGATATTTTTTTCCTGATATCCTTGTTACGAAATGGGTTGTGTTGTCAGTAAGCTGTGATTATTTTCCGGTTATGATTGTGCAAAAGTGATTTTGTATTGACTGCTTGTTAAGCTTACTGTCCTTGTGTTGTCATGATTATACCAAAATGGGTTGTGTTGACAGCTTGTTGTACATTACTGTCCTTGTGTTGTCATGATTATACCAAAATGGGTTGTGTTGACAGCTTGTTGTACATTACTGTCCTAGTTTGTCATGATTATACCAAAATGGGTTGTGTTGACAGCTTGTTGTACATTACTGTCCTAGTTTGTCATGATTATACCAAAATGGGTTGTGTTGACAGCTTGTTGTACATTACTGTCCTAGTTTGTCATGATTATACCAAAATGGGTTGTGTTGACAGCTTGTTGTACATTACTGTCCTAGTTTGTCATGATTATACCAAAATGGGTTGTGTTGACAGCTTGTTGTACATTACTGTCCTAGTTTGTCATGATTATACCAAAATGGGTTGTGTTGACAGCTTGTTGTACATTACTGTCCTAGTTTGTCATGATTATACCAAAATGGGTTGTGTTGACAGCTTGTTGTACTTATACTGTCCTAGTGTGTCATGATTATACCAAAATGGGTTGTGTTGACAGCTTGTTGTACTTATACTGTCCTAGTGTGTCATGATTATACCAAAATGGGTTGTGTTGACAGATTTTGTCCCATTGTCCTAGTGTGTCATGATTATACCAAAATGGGTTGTGTTGACAGCTTGTTGTACTTATACTGTCCTAGTGTGTCATGATTATACCAAAATGGGTTGTGTTGACAGCTTTTGTCCCATTGTCCTAGTGTGTCATGATTATACCAAAATGGGTTGTGTTGACAGCTTGTTGTACTTATACTGTCCTAGTGTGTCATGATTATACCAAAATGGGTTGTGTTGACAGCTTTTGTCCCATTGTCCTAGTGTGTCATGATTATACCAAAATGGGTTGTGTTGACAGCTTGTTGTACTTATACTGTCCTAGTGTGTCATGATTATACCAAAATGGGTTGTGTTGACAGCTTGTGTCCGTGTGTTTTGCATGATTATTCCAAGATAGGTTGGATTGATGTATTGGTGTGCTTACTGTCCTGGTGTGTCATGATTATGCCAACATGGGTTGTGTTGAGATTGGTGTGCTTACTGTCCTGGTGTGTCATGATTATTCTAAGATAGGTTGGGTTGACAGATTGGTTATGATTGTTCCAAGGAATTCCACTGAAATGTGACCAAAAAAAGCTTAACCTAATGGGGAAGCAGAAACACGTGCACAAAACGTTTTGTCTAGTGGCCTTTCTCAAACAAGTAATGAACTACGCACTAGTAACAAGGAGGAGAGTATTCAGATCTCTAAGGGGTGATGTGAGCAACTTAAAAAAAAAATTGATGTGTTGTGAATGAAATAAAATGTTTCCCTGTTTCATTAAGCTTTTTAGTCACATTTCACTGGGATTCCTTGGTATTAGTTTGACTGCAATCACCCCCATATTTTCACCTCTTTTATGATTATTCCAACATTTGTTGTTTTGAGATTAGTGTCCTGATAGGTCTTTGTTGACAGTTTAAATTGCCAGTGGTAGTGAAATTTTCTAGAAGGGTGAGTGTGGTCTGCTTCTTGACAAAGTTAAAAGTCTAGAGGAACAGCTTTGTTGCACCAGGTTATCCCATGTAGCTCAGTATCTCCCAGCAGAACAGCTGATTGCCTGCCAGGAGCATCACAAAAAGTACAGACTCTACCGTCAGTGACCATCTCCAGGGATTTCCATACAACTGCACTCGGGAACTGCCATGTCTGGCAAATGATCCAACAGACACAGCAAAGTGCAGGACAAAACCATGGAGACACTCTACGCTTCATGATAAAATCATGGAAAACAATTAAGTTTAACCAGTTGCTGAATTTATTAGAGTAGGATATGATACTAGACTTGTACTATTACAGTGCAATTGGCACTTGCGGGGTGATGAGCATCACGATCGCACTGACCAGGAAATTAATTGGTACCCATTTTAGGACGGGTTGACCTAGGAGCCAAGAGCAGTTTTGATGGAAAAAACTGCCTCAATGCGTATTTAAACGCGAATAAGTTGCACTTTTATACCTGGATCTAAGTTTATATATAACAGCCGGTTTTGAAAATGTATACTCAAGTAAAAAGTAAAAGGACCGTTTTCCACACCTATAGGCATATTGGGCATGCAGGGCTACACTATAGTTTATAGACCAAGTGGTCAGCATCATGTCAGCCAGCTTTATTTTCCAGGACTTCCTAGTATCCATTTCAGGCTGGGTCAACCAGGGAGCCAAGATCCGTTTTGACCGCTACACCACATGTGCAAGTAATGCAGAGATTAAAACAGTTCTTGAATATCACTTTGTTGGTTGAGTATTTTCTGGATAAGAGTTTATTTCTAAAGTGATACATATAACTTAAGGAATTAGAAGTTAAGGACTAAAACCAGTCATACAATTCATTAGAGAGAGCAACAGATGAGATGGTTTGGCCATCTGACTTAAATGACTGGTACCAACAGCCCACAGAGAGCTATGCTGAAAAAAATATATGAAAGATGGAAAAACATGACTAGGAACAGCCTTAAAGAAATGAACTTTTGCAATGCATTAGTACAACACCCCCCCACCCCCCACTTTTTTTTTTTTTGCGAACACACCCTCCCATATATATTAAGTTTAATGGTGGAAACGAAAAAAATGTAATAAAAGCATTCAGGTTCTCAAAGAGCTCTACGAGTGCTTGGAATTGAGGGCCGCTCTTATAGGAAGTGTAGGTCTTTCCCCTCCACGCCGTGCTTGAGCACATGCCTGCCGTACATGCCTGCCGTCCTCTGTGCTCTATCTTTACTTGAAATTGTGATTATGTAAGATTTTTTTAAGTGCACTGACAATGCTTTCTGTAACAACAGGTGACAAGCTCGGCAGAGTGGTGCACATTATTCAGTCTAGAGAACCGTCCTTAAGAGATTCGAATCCAGATGAGATTGAGATTGATTTTGAAACTCTCAAACCTTCTACACTTCGTGAATTAGAAGAGTATGTCATGACCTGTTTAAAGAAGAAACCCCGTAAAGCATACAGTAAGTGTCTATGTATGTGTGTGTATGTATGTATATATATATATATATATATATATATATATATATATATATATATATATATATATATATATATATATATATATATATATATATATATATGCTACAGTGGTTGTGATCTCTTCTGTTTATTTGAGGGTGTTTCAGTAAATCAGTCAACCCAGTGTGCTATCCATGTATTTATGAGTAAGGGAAATGAGAAATACAAACATTACATATTTCTCATCATGTGCCTTGCTAATTGGCGTTGGTTATTATATCTCTACACAGTCTGCAATCTGCAACTGCTTGTATCACTTCATGTTTTGACACCCCTTCACCCTTCGCAGCATATGGATATAGATGAATTTAATGTAACTAGATGCTCTTTGTTGCAGTTTAAACTTGTTGACTTAGTATGTTTGTAATCATTGATCAGCAGCCAGGTTTCCTTTGACATTTATCTGCCTCGTTTTTCCTTAATCACACTGTAGAGGTTAAAATGATGCTACGATAGAGTGAGAAGAGACAGACCGCAAAGACTGGGATACAGAATTTGGCGGAGTAGACAGACATGCCTTAAGATCATGACCATTGCATCCGACTGACAGTGGTGGAGGTTACTGATCAGACAGCGACTGGTGACCCAAGGACATGTGCTGTTATGGGACTGATGATGATGGTGAAAAACCCTCAAGCAATTCTAGATTCCCTAGATAGAATGCTATCAAAGTCATTTTCATGTTTTCATGATGACCTTGAAACAAATGTTCCTTCATTTTTTTAAAAATTACTTTTACCTACCACTTTATTTTAGGTGATCTAATGTATGTATCAAATGATGCCAGGTCCATATGGTTTTGACAGACTAGTAATTAATGTAGTGGTGTTAAAGCATATTTCCTCATTTTATGAGGCTAAGTCAAGGTCTTCTTGGTCTGTGATGATAGTGCGCTTAATCCACCATGGGTCATTAACTGGGATGTCATCTCGAGGTATCTGATTTCCTCCAAATCCCACTTGTTAGGACTACTGGCTGTGGTATGATCTCTGGTCAAACGCTTAATCCACCATGGGTCATTAACTGGGATGTCATCTCGAGGTCTCTGATTCTCCCAAATCCCACTTGTCAGGTCTACTGGCTGTGGTATGATCTCTGGTCAAACGCTTAATCCACTGTGAGCCATAAAACGGGGATGTTAGTTCGAGGTCTCTCAGATTCGCCCAAAGCCTAGTTGGGCTATCCTCTGACTAACTTTCAGCAAAGATGGCGGCCGCAAAATATCCAGTCGAGCCGCAGTCACGTGTCAATTCCGCCATTCCGGCTACTTAATATGTGCTTTTCTGGTGACTATGGCTACCGCCACGTGGCCCTCACGCTGCATGGATTGGGGCTAAACTAGATGGCTAGGACTCACGAGCAAGGCTGCAGGAGATGCGGAAGCTGCTGCTTGTGAGTCCTAGCCATCTAGTTTAGCCCCAATCCATGCCGCGCATAATTCGCTCCGAGATGAATTTCCATCCCTTGATGTTACTAACTTGGTTCCTGGCCACAATACAGCCAACACCTCCCTTAGCTCTCTCCGTCATAGGGACACCACTGTAGAGCATCATACTTCCATCATGATCTGTGATTCCTTGCCCCTTTTTCTTGGTTTCAGTCAGAGCCAAGACTCCTAATTTCGCTTTCCTTATCTCCCCTACTAACTCCTTTTCCTTCCCGTTAATGCCTCTTATGTTTCATGTTCCATAAATTGTAGTCCGTAAGCCATGCCAGTTCGTCGCCGTTAAGATCCGTCCGGTTTTCTCTCTGTAGTTACTTGTAATCATAGTTTAAGGCAAACAGGTGATTGGCCTGTTGTGCCTTTGCATGGTGGAGGGGCTGCCTCCTTGTGGCCTCCATGCAGGCCGTCTGGCTGATTTACGGTTCCCCACTACTTCCTGAGACGCTTGAAGCACTCAGGTTCAGCCAGACCCTCATCCTTTTACAGCCGGGCTGGGGACCGGTCTTAGCGGAGTTCGCTATCAAAATGCAAGCTAGAAAAACATCTACCATCTAAATGTTAAAAATGCTATCTAAATGCAAGCAAAAACATCTAAATCTGGATGTAAAACATCCAAAGTGGCAACACTGACTAACACCTCCTCAACTCATGACCTTTACGACCTGTAACCATCCTCAGTTACAGTCAAACACACAAAAGTGAATGAATTAAAAAAAAAAAAAAAACAGTAAAGAAAGAAAGATTTGTAAGGCAAAAAAGTTCTCAGAACTAATGCCTAGAACCCAGCCTGTTTGATGTTAAGTATTTCAGACTGTCTGGAACCACAGGCCTCCAACTAAATAATGTTGAAAAGTATAAATTCGACTTGTTTATTCGGAATGGAAATCAGTCGTAAGTTGAGGAGACCCTGTATATTGGGGCAGCTGACGGTTATGAAGTAACCTGCAGTCCCAGAGTGGGTGGATGTGGTAATTGAGTCTATGTCAATCTTAAGGATGCATGGTCTGAATCCAGACGCCTAGTGCGTTAACAGCTTCATCTTTCATATGTATTTGGTGTTTCTTGCTTAGACACCATACACAAATACTTATTCACACTTTAAAAAATGCACGTATCTTTGTAAAGTGGGCATTTTCCTGTGGATTTACCATGATTATCTGAGGTATACAATTTTAAAGATGGCTATATATTTTCCTCCCAGAATTATCTTTAAAATTTATACTGTTTCTCCCTGTGTTATTTCCGTTTAATTTACCATGCATTATATCATTTTTAGCAAAGAAAGTTTCTGGTAAGTCCAAAGAGGAGGCTCAAAGAGAGAAGAAACTGGAGCTAGAGAAGAGACTAGAAGGTGTTCAGCAACAGCTTGGCCAAACCGCCAAGAAACCCAGAAAAGGTAAGAAAGATCATCCTGAGCAAGAACTGAGTACAGTTTGATATTTTGATATAGATTGTTTGTTTCTGGATGGGTTTGTTTCTTTGTTGTATTGTTTAAGACATCACAACGGAAAAGCCAGGAATTCTGGACACACCCCCCCCCACACACACCAATAAACAAATAAAAATTCATTTATTTATGTTAAAAAAAATGTTTACAAAAAATAGGAAGGGGTATTACCATTTAACATAAATAGCGTGTAGAATTAAACGACTATAGCATTTTGGTCCCAATATATAAATAATTCATAGTGACTTGTACCCTGGTCCCAATTACTAAAGGAGGTTTATGACATAGATAAAGATGCTATTTTTAGTAAATATATACGGCATTCGTAAACACTGCCTGGGTGCAAACATAACCTTTGCTCTTAACTTCCATCATCGACACACAAACTGCATTTCTGGTGGACTGTTGGCTTTGGTATCTCTAGCAACTGCCCTATGCATTTAATGTGTGCACATATTTCTGGATTTTGCAGGGACTAGTTTTTTTAATGGGACAGTGAGACATTTCACTTGATTGTCACTGGCACAGGAACGGAGCAAGTATAGGGAACCCGATTACAGTGAAGTTGAAACCTCGACTGAGACTGAGACCAAGGCTTGTCCTGACTGGCCAGTGCAGCTGTGCTGGTTTAGGCATTTGTAGTGGGCTTTATTAGCGGCCTTATGGGACTAAAGAGTTAACATTTGGATGCGACTGGAGGTAGAAGTTGAAAGTAGACAGCTATACTAGTGGGAAGACAATCTGAAGAGATGGATAAAAAGCAGCTACAGTGTAACCATTGCAAGAGAGTGATGGAGATCCAATACAGTCAGCCTTCATTGGCACATGAATGATTTATGAAAGCATATTTATATGCATGTCTAGCATGTTTCTCATTCATTTTGTTCTTCTAAATGTCATAATTTGTATGAAGGTGTCATTTTAACAGAAAAAAAAACCTAAAAATTGTGTTATTTCCTCTTGTTTACAGAAGATGGTACCGGCAGTGACATGCCGGCATCAAGTCGGTTGAGTGCCAGCAGTAGTAGCACATCAGGCAGTGACAGTAGTAGTGACAGTAGTTCGTCCAGCTCCTCAGAATCCTCCGATTCCGAATCAGGTTAGCTCTCCTCCCACATGCAAGTTACACAGAAACATTGTTAGGTATTGTGTCTGGTAAACAAATATGTGGGTGACCAGTGTCCCCTGGTGTAGCTAGGACCTGTCCGGTATGATCTGATCAATATGGTGCTCCCTGACACTTGCACTTAAGGTTGCCGGATGTAAGAAGGTTGACAGCTGAGCAGTGAGTGTTATGTTGTTGGTTGGAGCAGTTGTCAGGTAACTTTCTAATCCGGCAGTCTTATAGATCAGGATGTATTCTGTGGCTTTTCAGACATTCCACAGACCTGAATTACGATAGCCAGTGCAAA